GAGAGAGAGGGGACTGAGAGACACCAGTCAGTGTACAGATATCTCCCTGAGAGAGAGAGAGGGGACTGAGAGACAGCAGTCAGTGTACAGATATCTCCCTGAGAGAGAGAGAGGGGACTGAGAGACAGCAGTCAGTGTACAGATATCTCCCTGAGAGAGGGTGGGACTGAGAGAGAAGGGGGACTGAGTGATATAAGTGGAATGCTGTGATGGTGTGACCATTCACCTCATCGTGGGGTTTTCTACTTGCGTTTGCAGATTCCGTGGAGTTACTGGACGAGGCTGGGGATCTGGGTGAGTGTGATGCTATAAGGGTGCTGGGGAATGAGTGATGTGAAGCAGTTGTTATTGGAAAGTGTGTGTGTGATTCCGCGACGTGGGAGCGGTCACTATCACTGCACGTTTGCAGAAATAGGAACTCGACAAAATAAAAAAATCCCACAGCAGGTCAGACGGCACCCGAGGGACAGGAAAGTGAAAAGTTTCGGGCTGAAACGCTGCGTCAGGGCTGGGGAGCGCAGGAGTAAACAGAGGCGGAGTGTTGGGGAGACGAAACGCAGACGCGGGGAACCGGTTTTGCGGAGCATCTGCAAATAACAACCAACCCGATCTTCAGGTTGCCATTCGTTTTAATTCCCCTTCCCATTTCCCTGACAACATGTCCGTAAACTGGGAGAACACCTGATATGGGAGAGGAAGGGCCCCTGCAGTTACTGGGAGCTGCCACCAGAGGGGGATTGATTTACCCTGATGGACCTCTGGGGGCATCTGGTGGCCGCTGGCTGTCATTACAGCTCCTGAGGGTCCTGAGGCCAAAGCTCAGAGGAGGCCAATCAGATTGCAGCTCGCGCTGCCATCAAATGGACAGTTGGCATTTCAACGTCACGGGGGGAACGGAAAACAAATTCAGTTCAATCTGTCTCTCTCTCTGTCTCTGTCTCTGCTTTCAGTGAATTTCTATTCGTCCATTTTTGGGATCCTACAGCTGCTGTGCCTGTTCACCTCCCCACTCATTGGCTACGTTATGGATTGGCGTCTGAAGGAATGCGTCGACACATCAATCAAGTGAGAGGGGGAGGGGTCTGAAGGGAGGCCATTCAGCCCCTTACCCAGCCTGTTACAGTGGCACAGGAGAATGCTAACTGGGGGGAGAGATGGGGGTTACTGAGTGACAGTGTGAGGGAGAGGGATTAACATCAGTAGGGATACAGTCAGTAACACAGGGTGCTGGGGTGGGGGAGAGGGGTTACTGAGTGACAGTGTGAGGGAGAGGGATTAACATCAGTACA